TTTATCTATCTTGGTCCGTTCATATATAACCTGATCATAGAAGCACAAATGTTTGGTAAAATAAAGATGGAATTAAATATAGTCTGACATGCCTGCAGTCCTTAGGAGACAGAATTGATGTAATCTAGATTTGTGTGGTACTAATATATAAAATGGAAATAATAGCTTTTTTATTTTAAATGATATTATGTATATAAAGTCTTAGAAGAGTGCCAGGTGCATAGTAAATTTCAATAGATGTTGACCATCCACTGGGATAGTTCTTGTTAGCTTATATTCATCTCACTGTCCAAAGTTACTACCAATAGAATCATTAGATTCTATTTTATTATAAGGACATAAATATAATTTTTTGAGAAGGAAGATATCCCCTAGTCCCTAAATAAAGATAAAGGAATAAAAAACATAAAGATAAAGAAACTGAGGCTCCATGAAATGAAGTGACTTACAAGACCCCACATGTGATGAGTAGCAGAGCCCCAGGAGTAAATGTGCTTTCTTCACTGTAGTAATGAATTATTCTTCAAAATTATTAGTTAAGGAGAGATAAAAATCACCTGGCAGACTCTGAAATATCTTTTAATAATGTCTAATTTGATATTAAGTCAGAGTTCACACAATTCAGGCATTTTCTATACCTGTCAATCAAAGGTGTTGTTGGACTTGGTGGTCTTTAAGTTGTACTACTAATCCATTCATTAAATGTCAGACTTAAAAGGGACTTTTAGCACCTCATTAAATGTGCATGTGCATGTGTAATAAAGACTAAGGAAAATGGGGGCCAGAATAATTATGTAACCTATGTGGCCAAGATCAAACATGTTAAACCACTTTAGTTCTAAGGATGGTCAAAACAGTTGAGGGGTGTTACAGAACTGCTGGCTGCTTTGGCTGTGCTTGAACTTAGTGTGATCTTGGGGAGACCTGATCATTGGATAAGAAGGCAGAACACATAGCTTCTAGGCCATTTGTTTCTAATTTTTCTGTCTCAATTTCCTCATCTACAAAATGGATGGAAAACTGTATGTCATGTCTACCTCATCAAATGGAAGGATATATTAGAAAATGTGTAAAACAAAAATAAAGAACTATTTTATTATTGTTACTATTTGTTATGAATGGAGAATTTAACTCAGTCTAAGCTAACCTCAGCTTTCTGTGGGAACTTAATGTTATAGTATCCATTTTATCCTTTCAAAATAGGTCAGCAGTTGAATATGATTGGACACCATGAACTAATGGTTAGAATTTATTTTTTAGGGGTTTTATAGGGATGATAATAGATATATTGGTTTGACCCCATGAGTTGCACGATGTTCTCCAGTGGCTTGTAACCGGCTCAGGGTGCAGCTTCCCAGAGTTTTCTCACTTAACTTCCTTAGTTATGTGCAGTATTATCACTTATGTTCCTGATTTACCAAAGCTTCTCTTGTTAGGATACTATTCAGAGGAGACATCTGATAGCCAAGAAGTCTTTTTAGGTCATTCACATGAGTTCCTAATGGTTATTTTTTGAAGGCAGGAAGTCACAAATTGCCAAGAATAAAAGAGCTTAAAAACAAAGAGATGTTTTGTCATCTTAAAGGGACTGATTATGTTTCCAAATGGATGACTGGGTTTGAATGAAATAACGTGCTGTGCATTTCATACATTCATAACTTTGGTAACTTGATTATGCATTCTGATTAACAGCTTAAATAATTTATCTGGTTAGCCTAAATATTTTATGTAAGTATGATTTAGAAATGTATTTTACAAATAATTAAGCTTTATTTTTACCTAGATCTTGACTCTAAGATTCCTATTTTAAGGGTATTATAGGGTAGCTTGCAGCACAGGTAGTCCTACCCTAGGAGTTGTTAAAAAAACTATATAAAATATAATATTTTATTTCCAAATTATGGTATCTAAGAAATAATTACAAATGGAAAATCACGTAGTGCATATGGGCTGGTGCTTGGTGTTCTGTATGCAAACATTTTAGTCTCTGTTTTGTGAAGGAGTGAGAATCCAGAAGCACAGAGTATTTCCAGGGAAGCAATTGTCTCTGAAAATCCTCTTCATGGCAATATCACCTATGCCTCCACTCCTCATCTTTTCTAATAACCATGGGTTCCCCAGGATTGTCATAGCTCTCCCAGGTCACTCTCTTTTCTGTATTCCCATGAGATATGCAGTATGTGATGGTGTGCAAAACTGCATGATAATATTTGTATTGGTCTCTGATTTTCTGTGAATGCTCCCAGTTTCCACTTGTGCTGTAAATACCTTTAAGAGAAGCCTCATTGTGTATTTTGGTTGTTTCTCAGTATCTATCACAGTGCTGGTCACATGGTAAGCATTCAATAAATGCATACTCAATCAAAATTAACTGGAAAACTTCTCAAGGTCGGGGATTCTGTCTCAAATTATCTACATGGTACCTAATATAGGGCCACATGCTGATAGGTGCTTATTGACTGATTGGATTGAAACTATAAACAAAATGCCCACTAAGATTATTTAACTCCTATGGTAATGTGAATCTGGGCCCCTAAGTCTTGTTTCTTCTTTAACTTGTTTTCCCCAAACAGTTTTAAGTTTGATGCTTCTAATTGAGGTTCCTGGGTTACCAATGAAAGTTGCCTTAGAAAAGAATCTTACATTTTTCAAGTCATTAGAAGTGGAAGAGAGTATACACATTTTCATGATGTATGAGGAAGAAATAGGTCCATTGTTCTAAGTGATTTGTCCAAGATTATTTATTAATCCATTTAATGTTACATTTTGTGTAGGTATTTTATTCCAGATGACTTAGTGAGTTAGGAGTAGAGTCTCTCATTTCCTATTCTCTAGCCATAGTCTGCATTCCAATCCTGATTTCAATTTGGCTACCATTAACATTTTATCACTTAGTATAGTGATATCTTACTGTCCCATCTCCCTTCCAAAACATACAATGGAGAAATCGTATGTTCAAAGTTTCTGTGGGCCCTACTTAGGATGAATATTTCCAACTTTTTGTAATTGTAGCATTCTGTGGTAGGAGGTTTCATAACACTTTGCTCCCAAAGGTAGAACAAGACTATTTTTAAAAAATCTGGCTTTGAGAAGTTTTTGAAAAATTCACAGTATCCATAAGTGAGGAGAACTCAGCATATCACAGAAATGAAGCGGGATTTGGGGATCCATGTCTCAGGAGCTTGGATTTGCTGTTTGGCCAAGTATGTGATGACATAATGGCTCTGCTCCTGAGAGGCGTATAGAATCAAGCTGGGATGGAGATTTGTCACTCAGCAGCAGTTCTCATCTCAGATAAGTAGCTCCACTTTTCTATGCTTGAAGGAGACCAAAATTAGCCTCTGTTTAGTCCAAGGTCTAAAATTATATGCTTAAATATCTAAAACCTCACTATAAAACTTTTTTTTTTTTTGGTGAAGGTGGTAACTGGACTAGTGGTTGTGGATAAATTCCGGATTCTGGGCAGTGACTTCCCTTTTATTTAGGAGCTCAGTTCAGTTCTGCAGTATCCTGAATGTCTTCAGAAGGAAGGGTAAGGAATTGGGGAGGGTGGAGAGAAGTAACACTTTGAAGCTCTGGAAGATTCTTGTCAAAAATGTAGCCTGGGTTTGAGAGAGGAACACATCACACCTAGAAGGAAAGTAAAGTAAAGGGGACGGGACCATTCACAGGCCTGGAAACCTGATGCAGATGAGTGAGGATGGCAGCAAGATGGTCTGGCTTTGTGTCTATCCGCCTTCTGCCCTGCTAGTGTCAAGGACTGATGCCCAACAGGCCCTGGCCTTCAACAACACTGAAAAGTCAGTTGTCAGAGTAAGATAGTCCTGTTTCCAACCTTTATTCATGTAAGTATTTATTTACAGGGGCAGCAATTGGAATCCTAGATGTTAATGGTAGGTTAGAGAAATAGGCTCTTAGGCTTGGCTTATGGTAACATTTGACCTAAGAAAACTATTATCAGCTAATCTGAGTTTGGGAAACCTTACGAAAGGCAATTCTTAGCATTGGGCTTCTAAAAGTAATTTTTTTTTCTTAAATTAAAAAATTCTCTAGTAAATCTGACTGCAGACTTCTCTATCAGTTTACACACCTCACCTGCCCCCCACTTCACCCCTTCATGAGTATAGAACACACAGGGGAAAAGGACCATCTGGCACAGCATGCCGGCTTTTTATTTGTTTGCTCTCAATCCTACCTTCCTGTTCGCATGGCCCCTCCCCTCTGCCCATACCTCAGAAACCAATCAAGGTGTCCTCTGAACTCATTTATTCCCTTTGTTTCAACCGCCTTCTTGGGTAACTTTTTCCATATGCTTACATCCTCGCCTCACAGCACAATTTTTTTTTCATCCAAAGTGGCCTGATTGGACTCTTAGGAAAAGCCATTTACTCAAATATATGACAAAGTGATTCTACAGATCCCAAACAACTTTTCATTATTTTTGATGACCAGGATATATAAATGGAGGAAAAATTCTGTGTTTAAAAATAAGTGGCTGGTGGGCAGTGATGCTGAATGGTATGGAATTAAAAAACCTGTTGCTGTTACTATTGAATCTTTTCTTGCCTAATGAAACAGTATAATCTAGACAAGGAGCTATAGTCTGTACTTATTATTATAAATTTTTTTATTTGGCATTTGTTTATTTTCTTGCCCCAGTTTGGCTTCATTCTCTTCACCATGGTGACATTAGTACTTTTTATATTACCTGCTGTGGACCAATTTTCTTCAGCTGTTGCTAAAACTTACTAAAATGCCAGATGTCATGTTGGAAACACAAAACCTGAAAGAAGGTTGTAAATCACAAAAACAAACCATTAAAAAAAATCATAAAATGCCCTGATTGCTGTGCTCTGGAGCTTCCCAGCCTTGAGTCTCCTCTTGCTCACCCACCTTCCCTACCCTACTGTGCCCCCGACTCTGCCCCCTATCTTTTAGGGCCAGGGCTGTGGTAGAGAGCTCAGCATTTCTCACCCAAGTCTTGATTGTTTATTTTGCAGATTCCGAGCAGAGCACTGGTTCAGACTCTGAGGTGCTCACTGAGCGGACTTCCTGCTCATTTGACACTCGCACTGACCTGGGCCCTGGTGCTGCAGGCCCTGTGCCTGTGGCCCTGTCCTCCATGGAGGAGATTCAGGTGGAGCTGCAGTGTGCTGACCTCTGGAAGAGGTTCCATGACATCGGAACTGAGATGATCATCACCAAAGCAGGCAGGTAAGAACATGAGTGGCCAGATTCAAAGAATGGAGAATGAATGTACGGGAGCTGTTACATTTTTTTTTTTCCCCCCACTTATTGGTGGTAGGACTCATTGGTGAAGTCAAAGCAACTTGCACTTACATCTGGACATCTTGGTAAAGTGATCCTGTTGTGTTCCCTGTGGTTTTGCTTTTTCCTCCAGTGACCACTTAAACCTAAATTACCTTATTCTTGCAAACATTTTCTGCCTACAAATGTATTGCAGCTAATACTGGAGATCCATGGTACATAATAGCCAAACAGTAGATTTCCAAAGCACATGTTACTTCATCCTCCAATGTTTTTAAGAGAAAAAGTTTGCTCCCCAAACAACTTCTTGCATCTTCTAAGGAATTTCAAGCAGCCAGACATTTTTGTAAGAATTGTGTTTTTGGTAAGATTGGACTTTGTGCATCTTCTGAGTCCTGTTTATTGATCCATTGTGTTTTATTGTTGGCTTGGAATTATTACAAAACTTTCATGGTGATCTGGTGGAAATTTTTGCAAAACCTCTTATGTAGGATGATAAAAGTTTTTCAAACAACAGTTTCTCCTGGAATAATTAAGCTACTCTTTTATTGGAATACTTCAATTTTCTATAGTTAAGTCTCTATTTTGTGCTGGATACTCAACATATATTATTTAAACTTCATGAGAATCCTCTGGGATAAGATATGATAATCCCATATATGTATGAGGATGCAAAGGCTGAAAAAATTTAATTAACTTGACTAAAGTCACAAGGGAGGTAAGGGCAGCTTCAGAATTCCACACAAAACTGTCTGCCTCTAAAACAATGGTCTTAGCTATTTATAACTCTGCATTTTTAAAAAATGGTTGTAGTTTTTGCTCCTTGGATTAAAAATGAAAATGATTTAAATAAAATTAAATTTGGACTTAGTTTTTGAGTATATAGGAATAGTTAATTGAAATTAAAAAAAATATGGTGCTTTCATATTTTCAAAGAAAATTGACATAGTCTTATATCATGGAGACCAAAAGGACCCACAGTCATTGATTATCAGCTGTCTTCATGAACATGGACATTTAAAGTAAAAGAATATTTTGATTGGGTCCAGCTCACTTGAATGCATATAGAGAAACCCCTCAAAACAGTAAGACGTCACAAAAACATGAGGTTAAAAGGACCTGAAATCTTGCTCATTTTCTTTATTTTTTGGAACCTTTTTCCTCCTCTAAGTTTTGCTAATGAATAAAATAATTAAAAGGCTTCTTAGGAGGAGCATCTTTGAAGGAGAATTACTTTCAATACCATCTCCTTTTTGTTGTTTTGGTTTCTGTCTACTCCTGCCCTACATTTTTAGATAACATGGTTTGGAAGGGTACAGAGAAATTTAAAAAAAAGTTTTTACTCTTTTCTTAGTTTTTGTCAAGGAGGTTGGTTGGGAGAGGGGAAATAGTATAATTTTTTTTTGTCTATAATATTTTTCAGTTTTTACTTTGGGTTTTTCACTTTCTAGAACCGAGTCTGTATATTCTAATCATCTTTGTTCCTGATGTCATTCCCTTGTTCCCTGCACTTCAGTAAATTCAGTTCACCTGAGCCTCCTTAACAACTCTCCTGTGGCCGCGTTTCATGATTTCTTCTGCGGTGTTTTCTTTTCCATATCTCTGTCTTCCCAAGTTCGCTTGATCCCTGAATATATCCAGATATTTACAGCATAAATATACATTTTGTTCTTTAAACGTATCTGTTTGTTTAGGTTTAGAGACTGTATTTATTGGATTTTGTATTGGTTTGCCTCAGCTGTTGCCATTGCTACTTGTAAATTTACTCAAGCAATTCTGGAACAGTGTAGAAACATACAAAGAAGACTTTCTTTTCTGTGAATTTTCTTCACTCCCTTCCCTTCACCTGTCGATTTCTTCCTTTTCACTTCCTTTTCCTGCCTACATAGTATCCTTTTCAATCCCCCCCCGCCTTCCCATTTTCTTGGTTATGTTACTTGTGTGGACTCTCTGTTCTTTGTCCAACTCAAAAGGTTTTAGTCACCATCTACTTCTTCTTATACCCCCAAACTGTAATCCTGTTGATTCAGAACTACTGCAGTCTACACAGCCCTCAATCTCTGAAGTACCAACATAATTTGTACAATCAGCACCATGGACAGAGATGCCTGTCAGGATTAATGGGTCTGGAAGACACAAGAATTGGCCTAAATTCAGCCATAAAATTGAAAGAAAACACATATTATTTTGTGAATATGAAAGATTAATTTTTCTTTAGGGTGTTGTGACTTCACTTGATTTTCTGTGCTAAAATACTGACAAAAATGAAAAGCAATTTTTGATGAATTCTTAAATTGAGAATTCAAAGGTAGTCACGGGATTTTAAAGCAAGGGGCACCTTGGAATTTATCTAGACTCTTTCCTTGTTTTTAGTTAAGGGGGTTAAATAACCTACCTAAAATCACACAGCTCATTTTAGAACTTGGGTGCTCGTAAGGGCCTGGTAGCTTCTCCACTTAAGGTCATATACATTTTCAGGCAAAACAGAGGTTGAATTAAATAATATCTAGCCCCTTTTATTGAAGTAATTAAGAAAGAAAGTTATCACCTTCAATGGAACGGAGCTTCTGTAAAAGGCTGAGAGGGACCCTATTTTCTTACCTCAGATAGCAAGTGAGAGGACTTTCTGTCCCTGAGAAGATGCTCTTCAAATATATATATATATGTGTGTGTGTGTGTGTATATATATACATATATATATACATGCACATATATATATACACACACACACATATATATATGTGGCAAACATAAATAATTGTTATTAAGAAGGGAATTACTGATCTACATTTAAATGTATAGAGAAGGTTCCTAATTTTTTGGAAAGATTTAACGTGAATCAAAGTGCCTAACCTATAGTGAATGTTAGATTTAGCCATTATGAGTAGTCCACTGTCAAATTTCATTAGCCCACAATAAGACTAAAACATAAGGATTTCTTATTAAACTTGTGAGGTTAGAGGGAGAAAATTTAAAATGATATACTAATAGAAGCTTCTGAAGAGTTATAAAGTGGAAAAGAAGGAATGGTTATGCATTATTCTTTGTAAATATTTGATAATTAGCCATCATCCCTATTAAAGGTTTCTGGTTCCTCTTGTGCTTTCCCTGCAAATATGATTATGATGACTTACAACCAGAGAACATTTGCTTTTTGAGTTGATTTTGGTGAGTAGTGAAGTATGTGATTAGCATAGAAAGCCCCTTATGTAAACAACCAGGGCATATTTGCAAGATGGCTGTCTGGGGTCAGTGTATGGTCTATGGCTGTGAAATGGAGCAAAGCCAATTAGGCTGTATGTGAATCAAGCCTGTGACCTTGACCTCATTAGCACCATGCTCTGCCCAGCTCGACTAACTGGCACCAGATGGTTAAGCTTAATGCAGCATTTTGTGTACAAGTACCCTATAGCACATTCAGGGCAATCCAAATTTTTGAACTGAGCACTTTTTATCTCTGATTCCTAAGTGAATGACAAAAGAGCTTGATTTTTTTCTTCTTTCTTATGGTTAAAGAAGAATGGAAAATTTTATTCTAGACTCCATGAAACTCAATACCTTTTTTGGGCTGCCCCCTCTCCTCCTCTTCAATTATGAGGGTGGTTGTAAAGTGTCATATCCTGACCTCACTTGCTTTGGCAAGTTTAACAAGGCATTGTGGTAGAACGAGGTATTGCCCAGAGGCCACTAGAATTCATTTGGTATTTGCTCCCTATTCCACAGTGTCCTTCCTTTGACATACACGTTGACAGCCTGAGAACTTGCAGAACTTTTTTTTTACAGTTTTATGCATTAAAAAAAACTTTAGTGGCCCTTTGTTTGGGGAATGGTAGCACCTTTTTTTCTCTTCTTCAGAGATTATTTTTAGAGTGACCATTTTCAAGTAGACTCCGTATGTCAAACAAAATTTCATGATCACCTATAATTAACTGTGGTAATCTAGTTGGTAGTTCGGTATAACTTGGAGACTTGGTAATAAAAAGTATTATAGATTGTTCAAATATGTTAAGTATAGAGTATATTTTAAAATGTTATAGTCTAGTAGGAGATGTATGTGTGGATACGCACACACATAATTTATCTATCTAATCACATTAAAAGTTAATAATATAAAGAGGGTGTGGTATGAACTCTTTAAAAGGAGGTGCTTACATCAGCAATAAGAGTTCTCAGAATATTTTATAGTGATAATTTCTGAAGTGAAAAAAGTCAGCCACTCTGAGAATTAGAGGAATTGGACTTTGGTATGCTTAGGGCTCCTAACAGGAAGAGTCTGTCCAAGATTTTACTCCTGCTACTCCTCTCCCTCTGATTTCTGAACCTACTACCTTGTTCTCCTTCATAGGAGGATGTTTCCTGCCATGAGAGTGAAAATCACTGGCCTGGATCCACATCAGCAGTACTACATAGCAATGGACATTGTGCCTGTGGACAATAAAAGATACAGGTGATGATGACTCTGTGATGTGAAACTGTGGGCATCAAAAAATTCCAGGACAGTTCTTTAAATTCATTAGATGAAGTATTTTAACAGTGCACCATACAATGCGCTGTATAGGAAACAAAGATGGAGGATATACCAATGATTTGTGGCAGAGCACCAGGCAGGGAGTAGTTGCTAGCAGTAGGAAATCAGGACTTGATTAGGTTTGGTTTGAAATACCCCATATATCTCTGGAGAGAGTGGATTGTATAGCATCTGCCAGGATAGCAAGGATTAAATGGACCTTAAGTTTACAATTAATTCAGTTAATATTGAAAGTGATTAACCTATTGAACAATTTGTTTTATGAAATGCTAAATGGGTTGAGGTGATTTATTCTGGAGACGGGAAGGAGAAGTGGACCATATATTTGGTGGATTACTTTGTGGATGATGGAGGGGAAGAATTGGAGAACTGGGTAAGATTTCAAGAAGAACATATAGTTAAGAGGAATTATTATCCATTAATATGGGTTGTGATTGAGTTTGTTACATGACCTTCCTTCAAAGTCTTTAAAAGCCAACATAGTGTTTATGTCTCTTGGATGGATTACATACAGTTCTTATCTGAAGCAAGCTGTGGCTTAGTTGATTTCTTGAGATCTCAATCAATTCAGTGAATTGCAGCTCATTTTTGAAATAGCTGAGAATTTGGAGGTGAGAGATGACTGGGGAAGACCAGGACTAGTATGGTAGGGGCAGAGAGCTGGTCAAAAGAGAAGTGGTCTGGATACAGGACTTAGGAGAGGAGGTGCTTCAGATCTGTTTTAGAGGATCTTGGGACTTGTGATTTGGACTGAGTGCCTCTGTTTGCCAGGGTCCAGGTGCCATGTGGTCCTTTAGAACTGAGAAGTAGAGAAGTGCCATATCCATGGAGATTACTTTTTAAAATTACAGAGCAATTGGCAGACTCTGGGAAACTGAGCTCCTTTGCTACCAACATGTCATTTCCAGTGGCTTTGTCAGAAAATAATTTGGAAGATGATAACATTCAAAACTAGGTTCATCAAACAGAACACTAACTGAGAAGACTTGGTGCTTCTGGGTATGGTTGCACGAAGGCAAAGGCCCTCCATTTTCATAGAATGCCTCAGAATTTAGATGTTAGCAAGGAAATGGTTAACAAGTGAGAGGCTTGGGGGTATCTTGCACATGGCTGTGTTTTATAGAGGACAACATGGAGGATGTTTTTAATAAGGAACCAAATTCTGAACAAGTGGCCAATGGATTATATGGTTTGCATTTGAAAGGTGAAAGGTTGCAGTAAAATATCTTTTCCGTAGCTAGACACATGGGTTCAGGATGTCTGTGAGCACACACGAGTGTAAGGCAAGGAGAGGGAGAAGAAATAAAAAGAACTGTGAAAATGTTTTCCTTGTGAGAGTTGCAGTTTTGATCATTAACCACAACACTTTTCTGCCATCCCCTGCTCCAACTAATTCTGCAATTCTGTCTCTATCTCATTTTCCCTGGTTATCTGTCCTTCTCTCTTTCTCTGTTACATTCTCTGCTTAATCCCTACTATTTTTCCATTCTTGTCATTTTTTTTGTCTTTTCTCTCTTCTGTTTCTACTTGTTTTCTGGGTGCTGTACCCCCTCTCTGCACCTGTCTCTGAATTCTCTCTCCCTCTCTCTATCAGATATGTGTATCATAGCTCCAAGTGGATGGTGGCTGGCAATGCTGATTCCCCTGTCCCCCCAAGAGTTTATATACACCCTGATTCTCTAGCTTCTGGAGACACTTGGATGAGACAAGTGGTCAGTTTCGACAAACTCAAACTGACCAACAATGAACTGGATGATCAAGGACATGTGAGTCAAAGAATCTCTTCTCTTTCTCCCTCCCTCTTCCTCATTTTGCTATAGAGCCAACAGGTAGAATAAGCATCTCGATACCACTGTAATATATTTTAAATAAGTATGCATAAAAGGTTTTTTTCCTTCTGTGAAATTTCATTACAAATCTAACACTTAGCAAATGTCTGCTATGTATCAGTTTATGTTTATCAGAGTTCTTGTATTCCAGACACTCACAGTCTACACAGGGGAGAATTCAGAGACAGAAATGCAGGACAATTAAAATACGGTGAAACAAATCACTGTATTAGGTAGAATAGCTCACAGAGTAACAAACTTAGAAAAGCAACTGAATTGACAATTCTGGCTGGTTTGTTAAGAGATTTATGAACTTAGAATAATAGGTCTTCCCAGGTATAACTGGAGCCCCTGGTTTTCTTAGTTTATCTTTGGCAATTATATGTATCCTAAATTTTCCCTAAAGGCTAGGATCCATACCGAGTACAATGGGAAGACTGAAGAAACTAAAACCATTGTTCTTATCTTTAAGGGAGTGACAATTTTCTGAGGAAGGAAGAGCATATGTGTGCCATCCATTTTCACATGACTAAGAAAATGTCCATAAATTAAATAACAAAGGACAAATAATAGCTTGTAGAATTTAAAGACAGCATGAACTCATGCTGAAAATTTGAAGCAGAAAGGAACAACTGTCACATAGCACAGCTTCTGTGGCCTTTCAGTGGAGTGTTTTCTACTACTGGCCTATTCTATCAGAATAGTCATTCAGTATTGATTCAGTTAAAAAAACTTTTTACATCCCCCGACCCATGATTGGAATACTCTGTATTATGGTTCCATGTAATGCTATGCAATCATTTAGTCCTTCCTGCCATGGGCAGGTACACTGGTTTCCAATTTCCTGTACATCTTACCCCTAATCTTCTATAATGCTTCTATCCTATGATGTTATTTGCATGTTAACTTGAAAAGATGTAGTGACCTTAGAGTGATTCCTGGCACAATGTTTTCCCTTCTCATTTCAGATCATTCTGCATTCTATGCACAAATACCAGCCTCGAGTTCATGTGATTCGAAAAGATTTCAGCAGTGACCTTTCTCCCACCAAACCTGTCCCTGTTGGGGATGGAGTGAAAACATTCAACTTCCCTGAGACCGTGTTCACCACAGTCACAGCCTATCAGAACCAGCAGGTAACAGCTGCCTTTGAGTCTCCTGCTGCACCTGCTTTTAAAGGAGCTTATTCATGCTTTTGTTAAGAAATGCTTAGTCCTTCTACATGCTACTGAGGAGCTGGAATGAGAGACACTAGGCTTGCTGTGCACACAAGGCATTGGTGATGACAAGGCAGTAATGCTTAGTAGCAACTGGCATAGTCTAGATTTAGATCAGAGACAAGATCTTTGACTAAGAGAACTAAACATCCTAAGTCATTTTCATGTCTCTCTGAACTTGTACCCATGTTCATATTCTCTCCTACATCCTGGCAAATGTGCCTCATCATTTGCAATTCCTTTGCAAGTACTGAGGCTTAATTCATTCCTTCCCTCTTATCTGCAGTTTTCCATGTTTCCCTCCACCAGGCTACATCAAAGACATTAAGCCTCTCAAACTCTATTTAAGCCGCACTGCTTCCATTTACACTTTCGATCTAAATTTACTTCCATGTGATCACCAGCCACACCCTAAGATCTCTTTGTTTTTATATTGGTAATTTGCTCATTCATTCCACAAATATTTATTGAAAACTTGCAATATATTCCAATCTTGGAAGAGCAATTGAGCAGATTCCCCAAGCCAAGAAAAGTTTTAATTGAATGAAAGACATGAAAATACATAATAATAATATAGTGGAATAATTTAATGACAGAGATGTGGACAAGGTGTTTCTTGTTTTGGGGAATGACAGAAGTTTTCCTAGAAGAGTTAATGCTTTTTCTGACGTTGAGATACAGGTATGAATGAGCCAGACTAATGCAGGAGGTATGTGGATGGTGGAGGATAGAGAGGTCAAATCTAGAGTTATTGTGGGCATTCTTAACAATGTTCTTTTTGGAGGAGGGTGACTAGGTGGATTTACAAATGATCTCACTTTATTTAGTTCCCTAAAAGTTGCATGTAAATGTCATTCTTATAAATTAGATTGTATTTCATCTTTTGGAAAGTTGTCTAATTAATAAGATTCTGCAGCGAATCCTTTTCTGAAACAAAGAGTTTTTGCTTGTTTATTTTGCTTGAAAGTTTGCATACTTTTATTTTGGACCTGTTTGGAGCAAAATGAGCTTATACTATAATACTCAATACCTTTTGTGTTAGATACTATGCTTAATGCTCTGACAGAGAAAATAGAGGAAAAACATTCATTTACTAAATATTTATTAAGTGCCTACTACGTGCCAGGCACCTGAAGGTATGTTGTATAATCTTTGGTTCGTATAAAAAGTATTTCAATCTTTCATAGTGCATCTGGATAAGATTCCTTACATGTTCTTCACTTTTGGAGGAATTCGGCCACCATTTAGTCCACTAAATGTTAAAGTTGTTGGGCTTTCTCAGCAGGTGTAAAGTGTTCCTAATTTCAGACTTCCCTGGTAGACACAGTATTTAAAAACCATTGAACCCTCTCAAACTCTGTAGAGAGTATAATCGCAGATGTCATGGGGGGTCCTTACAGAAAACTTTAATAATCAAGATTTTTCAAGCTCTGATATATAAAATAGAGCAGCAATATAGACATGGCCTTTGAAGGAACTGGAGCTGTAGTTAGATTAACTGTGTTATAGAAGAGGGGGGAGTCTGAGGCTGAGTTCTTCGAATAACCGACTAGATTTTTTTTCCAAGACTACCTTGGCCACCCCACCATTTTAATCATTAGTTTCTCATGAAGGCAGAGATATAATAAATATTACAACTTGAGATTTTAGTTTGTAGAGCAAACTAGAACACTGACAAATGAACATTCTACTGCTTCATTGAGATCAATTCTAGAGGCCAGGAGGATTAACATTTATAACCCACACTGAAACTCGAAAGCTACAGTTCACCATGATGATGAAAGGCAACCAAACAGGGGTGCCCGAAATCGCTTTCACTTCCTCTGCTTTCTCTCAAGGCAGTGTTTCTGTGTCTGAGTACATCGTACAGGTATAAATATTTTGTCTGTATCTGGACTGGATGGGGCAGTGGCGGTCAGATGGAAGCAGAATACCAGGAATAAGGTCATGGGATGCGGTGGCAGACATCTAGTTTGATTTTTGACCTTTCTACTGATGAATTGTGTGGCATTGAACAAGTTTCTTAACCCCTTTCAACTTGTGTTTCCTGGTCTGAAAATGTCCTGGCCTCATAATGTTTGTTATGAGACCTGGATGAGAGAATGTGCATAAAGTCACTGACACAAGCCTGGCATCCACTTAATAATGGTGAGCCTACATTGTGAAGGGGCTGGGTCTGTGCAAGCATGAAGGAGAGTGGGCAGTAAATTGCTCATTAAGGAGAAAGTGGATGGTTGGATATTGGAGGAGTTGCTTTGGCTCTTGAAGGTATTCTCATCGATACGTAACTACTTTGATCTCTGTTCTCTTGTCATGTTGGTGAATTCATAATGTGCTGACATTTAAAATAGATGAGTCATACTCAATTCTGCCCATTTTGTAATCAAGATAACAGCCTTTGCCTGTTTAACATGCCTCCAGTCTTTGGAAAATCAATAAGCATGATTGTTTAACATTCTCTTTGGCTGGTAGATATGATTTAATAGAATACAGTGCTTTCTAATAAAGCAAACTAACCTCAGGTCTCTCTCCCAGGAATCTTGAGGTCTGGACCCTGTAAGTTAGAGTTGTTACCTAACAATAATTTTCAGACTTGTCATGAAGATGCCGGATAGCACAAACTGTTCTCTTTTGTGAGCTGTATTCACCTTGTTCTGTGTTTTTATTTCCCTCAGCCTTCCAGAAAGAGAACAATTAATATTTTATGGCAAAATTATTTAATTTATAATCTTTTTAAGGGACCAGTTAGGAGGCCTATGAGAGAGTAAAGAGGAAAAAAAAATGTCCACGGTAGGGTTTCATTATTCTCAGGAACTTGTTTGGAAGAACACAATGAAGGAAGGGCAATAAAGGGAATAGAATTGGAAAAAAATGATACCCAATCTTCTGAAGGAAAGACAGTGTTTTATTCCAGAAATCAGTGGGCAAGATATTTGGAAACCTGAGTTTTAGTCTTAAAATCCCGCTAGCTACTGATGTCACTTTGAGCTATTTTGTCATTCTGGGCTTCAGTTTGTTCTTCAGGAAAATGAGCAGTTGGTCCTATACTTTCTAACTCTCTTTTAGCTCTGAAAATATAATTTCTCCCTCCTTTCCCTCCTTTTTTTTATGCACAATTTTCAGTGAGTGTTGGGAGCAATGTATTATTATCAAACAGAAGCAGCTGACACATGATTTTCAAGTACTGAAAATTATTATAGTGTTCATATCTGTCACATTTTTTTTAACCCCCACAATATTCTAGACCAGTACAGTTTTAGCAAGTCCACATTTGAGAGGTGGGAACATGGTGTTTTGTTGCTGGGAAACAAAGTCTTCCAAAAGATGCTATTCATTTGTTACTTCTCCCAAGTCCTCTCTACTGTTAAAGCCTGTTGGCTTCCATCTTGTCACCGAGGATGGATGCCCGACTTTCACCACATCCAATCTGCCACTAAACTGTTGTTTCTACTGATGAAATATTTTCTACCGTCTAGTCTCATTGCTTTTGCCTTGTCCTGGACCTGCCCTCCTTGGGCTATAGTGATAGCTTCCAGCTGAGTTGCCTGGATGGCAAGCTTAATGTCTCATGAGCCATCACATATATTTATTGCTGGATGGATCTTCCTAAAGCACAACTCTGATGGCATCATTTCTCTGTCAAAAATTGTTAATCACTCCTCAGTCACTAGGGACTTAAGTCCAGGGTCCCAAGTTAAGGTCCTCTGTGGTTAATTACCAGCTACATTTCTAGGTTCATGTTCCATCAGTCCTCATCATGCATCCACAAGAGCTCAGCAGTCTGGTTAGAGTTTTACCATTGTTTCTATGTCGTGAACGCCTTGCTTTGTCTTCTGCTGCTGTATTTCCAGGAATGCTTTTTACCTTCATCTTTGTCTGTCTAGATTCCCTCTCTTCTTCAAGTTCAGTGCAATTTCTGGCCCCTATGAGTTTCCTTATATTTTTCAGCTGCAAATGGTCCTTCCCTCATGGAATTGTTAGTGCACTGTGCCTCTGTTATGATTCTTATCATATTCTAACCTGTGCATGTGTCGAATCTTCCTCTCAATATTTTGAGCTTTTTGAGAATAAAAGTTGTACCTCTACAAAAACCAGTGTGATATGGCGGAAAACACCATGTCAAAGTTAAGTTCTAGAACAAAGCCTGCAGCTGATGGACTGGGCTGCCTTTGATAAATCACTCCATTCTCATTTGCAAACTGATAGTTTGATCTGAATCAGTGCTTCTCTGTCACCAGCCTATGGAGAAGCTTTTTATAGTCTGCTTATAGAGGAGAAAATAAAGACCATATAGGAACTTTTTATACATGTAAACATTGATTTTAATGTACTGCACATTATTTTGTCCTTTTTACTTTTTTGATACTAAAATGTCATTCATTTTATGAAATATTGGTGGCAGGAGATAATAGATAGATGTGAACTCTATTCATTTGGTAGAGTAAAAAATTGGAATGTCAATGTCAATCACTTAAATGTGGTAATGGGGGCATTGAATTGGCCTATGGAATTTTGAAGACCAGAAACTACTAACCAAGAAGGACTCTTCCATTTCCATAATTCTAAGGTATCTGTGTCTGTCCTATAGTGTACAGCACTGAATGTATGCTTGGAAAATGACCTAATGTCTGATGAGCCATCACAACTCTACTACTGGTTTGCTTATTTATCTGTGGTTCTGCTCCTTTGGATGTAAGTAGTAGTGAACTGTGAAGAAAGTTTCTGTTTTCAGGAAATACTTAATACTTTTCTTTCCCTCTTTCCCGTTCCTTCCTCCCACCCTTACTGACTGACCCACAGACTCCTAGAGCTGCTAGCATACTGAACTTATTATTACTATTATTTGCTTTTGGAGTGGCAGGCCTATGGCAGAGAGGAAGGTACACCATGTCCAGAATCTCATCGCAGAGAATAAGGTGGTAGAAGTGGGAATAAAGGTGACTCTACATTTTAAGCTTTTTCTTGGAAGAAGCTGATGCCAACATGTTCTCATGGAGTTAGCAGGAAATTTCCATTGCAGAATCTTTGTCTTCTTTAAGGTAAAAAGATTGCTGAACTTTGATTTTTTTTTCCAAACAGGAAACTAGATTTTAAAAAGACACACCCTGTTCTCCTCAGGTAACACAGTCTTATTTCTTGATGAGAATCGGCTACATGAACCAGATAGGAAGTCTGAAACCACAGCCAGGTTTGTGTTAGCAAATCTAATAGGATTTTTGAGCTGCTGATTATATCCTAAACTATTGAGGTAGTTTTGCTTGAACTTTCCCATCAAATCAGTACAGAATTCTTTTTCATATGGGCTAAAATTTTTTAAAAAGCCTGATGGAATATCTTTCAAACAATATGGTAAAAAATAAGAATTTTCAGCCTTGGTACTGTAAAATCGTACTCAGGATGATCAACTTTCATTTTCTTTGTAGTTTGTGCTACTATATCTGCACTGTGCTTTGTGAGATAAACCTCATTTATTAACTGCGTCTATGTTACTGGGCAGGAAAGTGAGTGAAAATGAGTAAAGTTAATGGTGGCAAGCCAGCAGCCACCCCCTCTTCAATAACTCAAGACTACACAAGTCAGTATAAGGTTATGGAAATAAAATCAGTGAAGAAAAATGCTTCCACACCTCTGCATGTTCCATGTCTCCTCATTATCACTGGACCCAGTTTGAACACACTGCTGTAGAATAGATTTAGCTACACAGGAAGTTACTAATAGACCTTGTTCTGACTAGAAGGACATTTAAAACTTTTGCCTGTAATGATTGCAGTGAACAAGTAGGATCGGAAGAGTTGTTTGGTCTATATTCTCTAAGGCTTGTGATGGCTTTGGGACTTGTGATGCCTGTTTCCCACATGAACATTCATTCACTTATTCACTTATTCATTCATTGAATAAATATTCATTGGGCATGAATAACATGTCTATTTAGGTTATTGATAAAATGGTATTTAAAATAGACACAGTTCCCACCTCTAGTCCAGGGGAAGAGACAGATAGTAAATACGTAAACAGCAAAATAAATGTTTAACTACCAACTGGGTTAAGAGCAAAGAAAGAATTAAAGAGGGCATAGTTACAAAGAGTAGCAGGAGCATCCTGTTTTGGAGGGATCATCAAGGAAGACCTCTCTCAGGAGACAACATTTCGACAGAGACTTAGGATAGAGTCAGTTTGGTAAAGAATAGAGAGAAGAGCATCTTTGTCTGGGGTAGAGTGAGTGTGAAGGGCCTGAGCAGGGAAAGAGCTTGGCACATTCCAGCACTGAGAGCAGTTTGGCTAGAGCCTGTGGACCAGAGGAGTGTGGCTGAGGATGGAGAGGCAGGCAGGAGCCAGGGCATGCTGGCCCTACAAGGCCAGGCAAGGGGACGTGTTTGAATTCTGAGTATAGTAGTAGCCACTGAAGAGGATAACATGATCCAATCATGCATTAACAAAGATCAGTTTGGTTGCTGTGGAGAGAAGAGATTGGACAGGCACAAGTCTGGAAGAGGGAGATCGGCTTGAAGGTTATTTAGAGGAGTTTAGTCAAAGATGATGGGACCTGGTCTAAGGTGGGAGGTGGAGATTGACGGCTATATCTGGGTCTAATTGATAAGCATGATTATTAACTATTCAAATGAGCTGTTCTTGGGCCTCACTGCCTTTGCCGTGGGTGATCTGGTCTGGCCTGGCCCATGGGTCCCTCGTGTGGAGACACGTCACTGACAGGAGACTACTGAACTTGGGCGCCTGTGTTCTTGCCTCAGCAGGACCAACTAGGCCTCCCCAGCTCAGCCGCATCTCAGTTTCATCCAGGTCCTCTGTTTGGCTACTGCCTCAGCTGTAGCGCCTCTGTGTGGGGTCACCCTGCCTTCCCTGTCACGGCATGCAGGGACCTCTGAGTCCCTGGCCCACCACAACAGGCAATGCGAAGCCTGGAGGTGCTGACCCAAGCCTCTTCCTGCTTTACCAGACCAGGCAGCAGTTTTAGTTTGAGGTTGTTAGCTCCATGTGTGTGTCTGGATTCTGGTTTGAGTCAGGGGAGCTAAGGGACATGGAAGTCTAACTATTTGCTTCTCTGTTGTCTGTCTCCTCTTTTGTCATTCTCCATTGAGGTGGAAAGTGAGGATTTTCTCTACCTGGTAAGAATTTACCTTACATCACATCCTTGTCCTCCAAAGGAGAGCAAGCTTTATATTCCAGCTGTCATTGGTGTCCTTTTCTACAGTATAGAAGATACTCTTAAGATCTGAGTCTACCAGGCTGGCCCTTGTATGGGGACCATGGGACTATTAGGAACTAAGGATTATTGAGATTGAGAATACATTGGTTCATTTCTCCAAAATACTGTCCGTGTTACTCATGGTATTTGTAGGCACAGCCGAAGTCATCAGCACTGGGATCATAGTTTGGCTTCTCTAGCTGAAATTGCTCTCTTCTGCCCATAGGGTATCCAAGTGCCTCAGTGGGGTAATAGAGGCTTTCCATGGTGTGGCCTAGGGCAGCCTCTCTAGCTTTCTCTCATGCACCTGCCTGGGCCCAGTGCTCTGGTCAAACTGGACTCCCCAGTGTTTCTTGAGTGTGCTTCATTCTTCCCCACTTCAATGCTCTGGCTCACATGGGACCTTTCTTATGAAAAGCTTGTTTTATTCCTTTCTACCCTTTTTGCATTTTTCTTTAAAATCCTGCCTACCTTTCAAGGCCTTGCTCATGTGCTCCCTCTAAGGTAAATCCTCAGAGCCCTTCAAACTGGGGCAATCACTACTCTAGGTTGTCATGGCATTTTGTATTTTCTGTAAACCTTATCATTTTTCTGTTTTATATTGTAATTATTAGTGTACAGACCTGCTCTTTTATTCTAGATCATAAGCTCCTCAGAGGGGAAATGGATGATACATAGCCATATACTGACTGCACACCACTCTGTCTCCTGTGTTCCCTGTCATAGTGCTTTGTACACAAAGGCACTTGATAATAAACAAATATGAATGCACAGCCACACTTTATAAACTGTCTAAATCTCACATTAAAAGCTTTGAAACAAGTATAGAGGTTTTTCCTAATGTTTGGTAGCATTTGTCTATTAAATCCCCATGCAGACACCTTGGTCTGAGATACAGTGAGCTGTGGGAAACAGGTTTTCAACCATTTCTCCCAGACCTATGAGATAGAATATTATTATATTTACAGGGGCCTGTGGAGGTCCTCAAAACATGGCAGCACAATCATACATCAGAAACCCCTACCATAAATGAGTCAGTCAGGATAAGCCAACCTGAAAGAGAAAATAAAATATTATGACCCCAACTTGAAAAGAAAATATGGTGTGTGGTTTATTGCTGTAGATTATGGAGGAAGAAAGAACTGATTTTAAGTAAAAAAACAGAAAACCAGTGACAGTCTTTAAACTCAGTACAGTATTTACAGGGCAGACATTAGACTTTAGAATGTCAAAGCTTTAGGCTCCTGCTCTGGCCTATAAAATGGCTGTAAAATTGCCTTTGCTGCATTATTAGTGTTATATTATTAGTGTGTATTCTAGAGGCAAAGAATGTTTAAAAAATAACTTCAGTACTTCCAAGTCAGAGTCTGTTTGTCAGAATCTCACACTGTATTTTAAAGACCTTTACAGACTGTGGCTTTGAGAAACTCTGCTCTGATGAAGCGAGATGGAAGAGGGACTTGGAAATATTTGCAACATAGGAAACAACTTTAGCAATCCTAGTGATAAGTTCTGCAATGATCAGAAATGAGAAAGTGGTTTTAAATCATGAGATTCCCTTATTACTAGAATTACTTCCCATTGAGAGTGAAATCCCTCTTTTCTGAGCTCCCTAGCTGCCACCCCTACATCTCCATTGCTTGAATGTAGTGAGTCATTAACATGTGATTTAGGCATGAAGGTATCAAAGTGCCTTCCGTGACCAGGACCGAAAGGGGAAGCTCAAGAGTGCATGTGGAATTTGTTGGTCAAGCTAGTTGTAGTCTGGAGGCATGAGGGTAATATATACTACCGCAGAGCTTAAGGGGACTAAGGTAGGATGCAACAGAGAGGGACTTGTGCACTGAGTGGTGGTCGAATCAGATGGCTCCCAAGGACCCGTTCAACCTGGGTTACACTGTTGTTTGCACCAGGTGTGCTCAGTCTTACGAAGCTGCCCCTTTGTTTCATTAGATTTGCTTGTGAGCCTCGGAGACTGGATGAGATGTGCTGCATCCTGCCCCATCCAGTCCATGTTTATAGATTGGGTGCAACCCTGACAAAAATCTGGCTGCTTTTTGTGTCTTTTACAAGTCCATTTTAGGTCATTAAATGAACAATCCCTAGTGGTGGGAAAGGCACAACTTAAGTGAAGTGGGAAATGCCGTCAATTATTTGGTTCTTTCAGGCTGAGGTGGATTGTCTGGTGGTCTGATTCCACCTACTTGGATTGACTGAATCCTTCTGTTCATGATTCACTTAGTTGCTCCCTCATTCGTTTACTTATTCATTCAGAAGCACTTTCCTCTGTGGCACATACCATGAACCTGACCATTGCCCAGGTTTCCATTTTGATGCCTTTGTTCATCCAGGCAAGTGATTTATCCCCCATTTTGGGGCAAGAAAGATGAGGAGAAGAGAGGTTACAGAGTCACATACTGGGAAAACCGTGGTTTTTAGGGAAAGTGGGTCAGGTGGGTCAGACATCGGTGTTCCAGGCCCAAATCCTGTATCAACCTCAATTTAAATCTGAAACTAAAAGAACTAAATAAGAAAACAGCTGTTAATACTAGAATGATGTTTGTTAATTTTCTAAGAAGAAGAACTGAAAAAATCAGTTAATATAAATATAATTCATGCTTTTTTGTTTGTTTCCATCCAGATCACCAGATTAAAAATTGACCGAAACCCTTTTGCTAAGGGATTCAGAGATTCTGGAAGAAACAGGTAAGAAGCTCATTGACATTTCTTTTCTGTGACATTGTTCCCCATGCTCCAGTGGTGGTTTGACCACTGCCTTTTTGGGGAACACTTGCTTGCTGTGCCTCTGAGCTGCCTTGGGCACAGAGGACTGGACGGCTGATGCAGAAATCCAAAAGCTGCCCCAAAAGGTTAAATTATCTAAATTCTTTGTTAACATACTGTTAATCAGCAGATCAAATCCCCCGTGATATTTTTCTTCCTATGTCATACTTGGCAATTGAGTCACTTAAAACAAGTTCTATAGTGATTTATTATCCTCAGAAGATTGCTACGTTTTCTGATGAGTATCTGTAGGTGGCTACAACCTATGGTGATATGTCATTTATTTTTCATTATTAGGAAACAAGGAATTGTAAACAAATTTTTTTTTCCCAGAAGAGTATTATCTTTAGGAGCTAGGCCTTTGTTGAGAAAAATTAACCTTTTTTTCTCCTAGGAAGTATTTCCAAACTGTATTAGATGTTTTTTGCTTATAAGAGAGTTTATAGAATGACACCTTTCTTAGAGATGCAATATCTTATGCTGGGTTGTTATACAGTGAAACTTAGGAATTATTGGAGTTTGTAAGACTTTTTGTTTGTAAGACTGCTGTAAATGTCCTTAGAGACCATGGTGTTTTCTGGTTAATTCTGCTTCTCTCTAACTCCTTCTTATCTCACTTGTCTGATATAAAATTAAAATCTGTTGCCCATGGGGAGTTTGGAGAGAGTTGAAATTACCAGGGAAAGCAGATATATCTAAGGCTATCCAATCAGAAAATTTCATTTTATATAAATCATATTGAAACAGCAAACGTGACACGTGTCTTCTAAAGTATGTGGGCTTTGCTGCAACTATTTAGTGTTCAGATACATTCATTATTTTAGGACATTTCTTTACATCTGAATGACACAGAAGGTCAGGAGTTATGTTGCTGTTTCTCTGCTAGAGTTTTCTAATAAACCATGTAATATTATATTTAGAATCCCTCTTGCAACTATGTAGCACATTGTATTAGAATCCAGGTATATGCTAAGAATCAGATAGAGTGATCATTTCCCTTACAAAATGATTTGTGAAAGCATCTTGCTATGAAAGTCTTCTCATATATTTAAAATACATATAGTTTTCTACAAAATTTTATTTATGTCGGCATTTTTTAAGGTCACATCTGTTGAGTAAGGTAAAATTCACTTAAAACTGCCAGTTTGAAAATGTCAAAATTGAGTAATATGTTCCATCTATGTTAAGCAACTAGTTAGTGGTATAACCACACTAGAACTCAGGCATATGGACTGTAGGATAAATAATTTCTTATTCAGGGATTGTTTAAAGTAAGACAAAGGCCTTTGTTTTCTGAATTCAGCCAATGAAAAATGAATAGCTCATGGGTGGATTTCAGGGCTTCTGTGAGTTCCAAGATATTATAAAGAAAACTGTGTGTGGATGAGTAAGTGTACATTTTTCTGGAGAGAGGTCTATAGCTTTCTTGAGATTCTCAGAAAGATCCATGACCAAAAATTAAGAATTTCTGCTCTAGACACATCTATTTGTCTCCAGGGGCCAACCCTGCTGATTATAATTATTCAATAATTTCCATTTCTTTTCTTCTGTGTCTCTAGTGACATTTAGTATTTGTTTATTTTCATCTTGGCATTCCAAAGATTTTCTTTTTTTTTCCCATGTGAATCCTTGTTTTTCAGAGAATAGAAAATTGGAATAGATAGGCTGTATTGACCAGCATTAGAACTATGCTCTGGGAGTTGAAGACACATTTTAATCTTGAGAATAGACCATGTATCTTGAAGTATTTGCCTCTGATTAGAAAGCTGTGATGACATCTCAGTTCAAGTCCTAAGGTCCTGCTGTCTCACTGGGTTAGAAGGGACCTTGACACATCATTTGGCCCTGGTCTGTGTCTGGCTTAAGGCTGGGGAATGTCTTAACTGCTCAGGACAGATAGTTACTTCTCTGTCCTTCCTGGTGAGCTGCTCTTTTTTGGAAGGACTTCAGGAAAATGGAACTATGGATCTTCCTTAGCCCATTTCAGTGTTTCATTTGTGAATTTCTCTGATTGCATGGAGATTCTTTATTATGTCCCATTAAAACCTGCAGGCTATTTTAAGTAATATCAGTAATTACAGAAGTTGTCTGTGATTGAACATTCACTGCATTCTGGACATTTCACTAACGATCTCCCTAATCTTCAAAACAACCTATATTTTATAAGTAAGGAAACTGAGGCTCAGAGAGCTTAAGCAGATTTTCTAGTATCACACAGTAAAGCTGGGGCTGGGATTAAAATCTAAGTCCACCTGGCTTTCAAGCCTGTATACTTTGTGTTCTATTATGCTAACAATATAAATTTGACTTATTTTATCTTCAGGTATAGAGAATAGAACTCTTCCTCTAAAAACCCTTCATCTACTTAAAGATACTACTTGACTACACAGAACCTTCTATTCCCCCGCCCCCACCCCACCCAAACCAACCTATATATTCTATGCCTGTCCTGGTAGCCTCTTCCCTGTGATGTTTTCATCTACTTCCTATAAACATGGGGTTTATTTTCTGTAATGAGCAGTTCTCTAGTAGAGGACAGGAAGTCAGGTTGAACTTGCCTAGTGGGTGAAACTGATATAATGACACTGAAGCCACTTCTCTTGGATGAATTTTCAAAGTAGAAGCCAATTTTATCCTCCAGCACTCTGGGAAGCCAGATTAAAACAAACGTGTTGGGGCAAGTATAAAATACCTTGTATTTTCTCTTTACAAAGCTCAAAATTACCTGATTATTACACTTTAATTCTTACTAGCTGCCTGCTGGATCTGATAAGAGTGAGAATTAGTACTGTTTTACAGATGGCAAGGATTGATGGATGACGGGTGAAGATATAGAGGATTATTCATAAATCTTCTGGGAAGTGGAGGTTCTGTGCCACACCAGAGTCCAGTCGGTCACCTTTCAAACAGTGCCTCACCCATTGCCCTCTTGTGCCAACACAGTTCTTCTAAGTCCGTGATCCTCCCCATGCATTTTAGACATCAAATGATTCATACAGATGAGCATGGTTTGATGAGTTGCATATAAATGTACCCAAAACATAAGGATTGCATTTCCTTTAAAAACACATGGGCTTAAAAATTAGGGAGGGAAGTGCTTGGCCAGTGTTTTTTGGTTTTGCAGAACACAAAACATTTGTGGAATACTTTAGAGTTCCACAAATTTGCCAAACCCCAAACCAAAACATGTTTAGGTTTGTCAATCAAAATCCATCCCAGTGTGATCCAGAGGCTCAGGAAGGGAGGAGTGTGAGAGGGAAGAGGGGGAAGATGCAGCCACCCACCACACTCTTTTTAAATGCTTCTCATGAATCTCTCTAAGCCGTAAACCTCTCACTGCAGTGCCATCAGAGAGTGGCCAGGGCCGACAGCTGTGTCCTTTCAGGGTAGACAAGAACATTCGGGAGCTGCAGTGATGATACTTATCCCATTCTTCATATTTTAATGTCAAGAGATATCCATGAAGAAGTACTCCCGGCATCCAGCCCCATCACCTTCTCTTTCGTCTCAATGGAAACAAGAGTGGCTGAGCTGATTGGTCAGCTGGGGGAAGGAACTCTTCAGGACCTGCTTCCTGCAGGAGTGTGCATTCTGGGCTTTTCCTATTGATAAGCCCAGTGGAGGAAGCCCGCAGTTTTGGATTCAGTTTATTTTGGAGGATTCCTCACCCATGCATTCAGCCCTCATGCCTGTCCCAGAGTCTCCAGACTCCTTTATTAATTGTAAAACTGTTGTTTTGGTGTTCATTGCATCAGACTTCTAGGTCTTTCTTAGAATTTATTCTGAGTTCAAAAGAGGATAAGAGGTGATATTCATTGGACCTTCCAGAACCCCAGCAGGAGCCCATTGAGTCCATAGGTCGGCCCTCTGGTGCTACCATCATCAGAGCCCATCATAGTTCTCCCTGCTTTTTTAGAATGTCATTCACACACTTCAGTGTGAGGTTACCACACTTCAAACTGAGTATGGTGCTGCTAACTTTCCACTCCCATACGATCATAAGACCTGAGATGGCCTACTTCTGTAACATATTGATTTAGCCTAACTGTAGATTAGGCACACATCCTTCAGGCCATCTACACTGGCTCTGGACAGTGTAGGCATGCCTGTGCTACCTGGGTCCCTCAGGGAGGGATGCCCAGCAAGTGTCAGAGGCTGTGAGCCTTAGGAAAGAAGAGGTCCCAGAAACTGAGCTCAAGCAGATGAAGTTTGGTTGGAAAAGGTCACTCAGTAGTGAACTGAGAGGTAAAGTTGTCTTTGGGGGTGGCCACCCCCATGGGCAGCCTGCTCCAAACAGAAGACAAAGGTCATGGAGCTGAAGAGAAGCAAGAGTCTTTGCAGTGAGTCTCAGAGTCGAGCAGCAGCCTCGGGAGGTACATTTGCCCCATGCCTGGAGAGCCCACTGTACTCAGCGAGAGGGAGCATCACCACCACAGAAACCTTGCCCTTTAAGAGGGGAAAAGCCAGAGGAGCAGAACGAAAGAGGACTCTGTGGGTCCCTCAGTCCACATCCAATGTGAAGCCTTGTTCCTGTCCGCAGGGGCTGCCAAGAAAGCCCAAGTCAGCTTGGGAAATTTTATATAATTCCCAGGGACTTCCTCCAAAGCAAACACATACATAAAAAGGATAGGATTAAAATTATGATCTGTCTGGAGTGGGAGCCCCTATGAACGTATTTTCAAAATTCCATGGAGGGCACGACTCTGGGTCCTCCGAGAACGGCAGCCTCCGTCCTGGCTTTGGCCTTTGCGCTTTACCCTTATTCCCAGTCTCCACCACATCTAAGCTTCAAGGGAGACTGCCCCATGCACCATGCACATGATTTTTTTCCAGATACTCATAGCTGGAGGGGAAACCCAGAAGCCACTGCTGTTGGTCCTACAGTAGGTCCAGGTGGAGTAGCCCTTCTGCAGTCCAGAGAG